GCTTTTAGCAGCCACTACTTTCACAGCTCTTGTTCAAAATGAGGTCTAACACAAAGTGACAGCATGGCTGCAGGTGAAGTTTAGACCGAGTGGAGAGCTTGCAAGCAAACTTAATCACATAAGCAGAGAATCACACATCTGTCAGGTTAATGAGACAATGCCTGGGGAATGATCGAGAGTTTACATACAGCTGGGAGAAGTTTGTCTCCAATTTTATAATCAACAGAGTTGACATGTCTCCCAGCTAATTTCATGTTTAGAAATGAGCTTCATGATAAAAATTTAACTGGACAACACAAGCAATCTGCTTTTATTTTAAGCTTTTATTTTTTCTTGATTAAGAGACAAAGATCACGTCTGCATGGCAGCATGAACTGCCAGGTTTCACAAGAAATGAAAAAAAAAAATGCTGATGGGGCGTAACTGATGCTTCCATCTGATCTTACAATCAATACCAAACAGTGTCACCAGCAGACAGTTAGGGAAACTGGAGGTCCTCCAGATTTAGGACTGACAGAACAAGGCAGGAAGGTGAGTCTGGGGCTACTTTGATGACACCTGGTTGTGATTGACACAACTGTGCATGTTAACCTTTGGGCATATTTAGCCTCACGGTAGCTGCAACAATTATATTGCTAAACATTATTTAAAGATTGTGCTGTGAACTGCATTCAAATACTAAACTCCGATTCGGAAAAAAAATAAAACTAAATATTTAAGGACAATCGTGGGATCAGTAATTCTAATTAAAAAGAACTTTACATAATTAAATCTGCAGTAGGCAGCTATTGATATGGTTTCCTTCACTTTAACGTTGAAAAATGTAGAAATAATTAGAGAGCAAAATTTCTATTTAGTTACAATTTGTAAAGAATGTATGCAGAAATGTATGGAATTATTTAAAGTAACAATTTATGGACGACTCAAAATGTATAGTCGTTTTCTAATTTTAAGTTCTGTTTCCAGTGTCTGAGTTGGGATCATATTTCATTGTACTCCTGCTAATTATCACTGGCAAATATGTATAGTTAAATTTGGACTTTTCAAATCTACGGCATAAAAATCATTATATATATATATAGACCTGCCCAGGGTGTACCCCGCCTCTCGCCCATTGACTGCTGGAAATAGGCACCAGCACCCCTCACGACCCCAATTGGGACAAGCGTGCCAGATAATGGATGGATATATATATATATATATATATATATATATAATTTGTTTATCGAGGAAATAGATTAGTCATATACAAGAAAATACAAAATTTTCCTCATTAAATTTTCTTGTTTTTGTTAAACATCCTTACTGAAGACCTAAAAACCAACAATAAAAGCTATGATATGTTAAGATATGTGTTTACATTCTTCATGTCTATCTCTACCTCATGTCTAAATGTTATTTTTCAATTTAATAAAACAGACATGATGATAATTCATATGATTTTTACACAATTTTGTTTTACTAGTTAAAGTGAAAACATCAGTTTTATAATTGCAATATGCAGACAGTTAAGTCAGGTCTTGTTGCGTTGGAACAACACTTTAAATTCCGCTTACAGGGTTTGTTTCAACTTTGGTCCATCCTTTTAACAAGTGAATCATTGGGGTTTAAATTTGACAGCAGCTCTCACTGTCATTCAAAACTGATTTGTGTAAATGCCAATTAGTGAAACTTTAGACATCAGAAAGGTGCTAGTTAAAGATGATTACAGGGTCTGGACTGCAGAGAAACAGAAACTCTTTCTCTTTTGACATCAACTGTAAAAACAAATTAGACTCAGCTATTAAGGTAAAACAAAGTAGAACACGGTTTTTTTCAGATTCCAGGTCGTTTGATGATTAATTGAACAAATTTAGTCATGTTTCTTATATCCACCTCAAAGTGTTGTGCTCCTGTTATAAAGTGTTATTTTATGCGACTATGGCTCCAAATTTTAATCTCTGAAAAAAGAAATCGGTTTAAATAAAAGGTAAAAAGAGAACAGACTTAAACCAGAAGCCTCTGCTGATCATTTTATCTGATAAGCTTTAATCTGTTTGTAAATGTGTGACTCAATCTGTGCTCCTGTCAGAAAAACAAAATGTTTAGATTGAACATACATATCTAAATTGCTTTAGCATGTTCATCCTGATATGTAAACATAATAAGATAACCTTCCTCTGGCTTTTCTTTAGATCTGCCTTGCTGGCAGAAGAATTTGATGAAAGAGGTTAACACAGTTGATTGCATTAAATTTTATCTGACACGAAAACAAAAACCAACCCCAAAATACTCGAATAATCCTGCCACTTCGAAGTGGCAGGATTATTCGAGTATTCAAAGTATTTCGAGTATTCGTAGTATTTCATCAGAACCAGAGAAAAATTAACAACACGAGCAAGAAGGTTATCACATCCCCTAACGTGCTAATGCTGTAAGCTGTAGAGTGAAAGGTGCATTGCAGGTGTGAAGCATTGGACGTCATCTGATTCTTAAAAATAAACAGTAATCGGACACACAAATGCTCAAATTAACCGCTGCTGCCTCTAGTGAGGCAAAAAGAACTTAAGTGGTTTCATGTTGAGCATCCCTCTGGGTTAAATTATATTAGAACAAAGAGAAACATCATTTCATGAATAGAAACACACCATTAAGTCTATATTACCAATATGGCTTGTAAAAACCTATTGATTCATACTGATGCTTTCAATTAGTTAAAGATTTAACAGCTAATAGTTGAAGTTGATTTTGTTTTCCCACTTACTCCTCTGTGCGTGCAGTGTAAATAAAACTTGTAATCATTTGCTGGCTCTGGAGTGTTACAAATTAAGAACTTGGCAGCTAAAGCCTAACAAAAGACATGTGATACATTCACACTTATGTAAGCCAGCTTGCTCATATGGGATCTAATGGTTTGTAAGCTCTTGGATTACATTTCTGCTTTCACAGATAACATTTTTGTAATGAGGGTAAAGTCGATCAGATAACCGTCTCAAAGAGGTCAGCTGCCTAAAGGCAGCCTCGCTCGAACACATTTTAAACATCAAAGATAGCTTGCAGTCATAGAGCTGAGCTGTACATTGTTATCTAATTGCTCTACGAAACTCAATAAACGCTTACAATATCAAACATCATGCAAGTTTTATTTGAGACATGCTCAGCTCCGAATCTTCATGAGTAAGGTGTTGTCTAAATGATTAAAAAAAAAATCAATAATGCACAATAATAAAACTGCTAAATCAACTCTGAGAAAATGGCTTTACATTATTCATATAAAGCAGGAACAACCTTTCAGAGTGTCTGGTTGGATCTGAAAGAGGAAAACCACTGAAATATAAAAGGACGTATGGAGACGACAGTATTGAGCAGCCTGCTACTGCCACAGCAGCAGAAAGGCTTTTCCACTCACTAGCTTTCCTTTTTTTGGTGCAAATTATTAAACAGAGGCTCAAGAGAGAAGCAGAGAAGGTATCTTTTGAATAAATTGCGTTGTGCACTATGAGCCAATTTTCCAGAGGCAGGCTAATACAACTGTGGAAATTGTTTATGCTTTTCATCCATCCTCCTGTCACCATTCATCCACACTGCTGCCAGAAAATACAATGACACTGTTTCCGAGACAGCAGGGGAATGTTCAACTGAACACACCCCAAAACCACATCCCTGCCAAACCATGTGAACTGAGAGTGTGAGCCATCTGATTTTAAACTGGAGTCAAAGCAAACAGACTTAAAAAAAAAAAAGTCTTAACAGGGTAGGAAATACAATTTAGTGTTATATTGAGGCTTGAATTTGTGAGAGTCAGTATACAATGTGTCAGTAAAGCAAGCATATCCTTAAAATGTTTTTGCATTTTGCCACTTTAGAAACATAAACCCAAGTAAAATCATCAATTAAACTCATAGAAGACCCAAAATTAACACAATATAAAACTTGTATTTTATTTTTTTTTAATAGTAAAATTTGAATGGTTCATGTATTAACAAACTCGGTCCTCAAGGCCCCCTGTCCTGTAGGTTTTAGAGGTCTCCCTGCTTTAGCACAGCTGGTTATAATGATTGTAGTAGACCAAAAGCCTGTTAATCAGCTTTCAATTAAAATCAGCTGTGCTGGAGCAAGGAAACCTCTAAAACCTGCAGGACAGAGGGCCTTGAGGACCGAGTTTGGGGATGCCTGCACTAGATGATTTGCATTTGGGATTCCCCAGAGTCTATCGATTTATTCTGCATAAAAATCCAACTAAGAAAGGCCTCACAGGTTGGTTAAAATGACTTGACAAATACCAAATAACATAAAAGAAAGGTTTATTATCAATTTGTTATAAAAAGCGATGAAAAGGGTATTGACCAGCTTTTAACACTAAGACCTGGGCTCTCAATCTAAACTGACAGTCAGGAAAAGGAGAGGTTAAAGAACCAATTGTATGGCAACTCTGGAGGAGCTGCAGAGATCCACCTCTAAACTGGTTGCATAACTTCACAAATCTGGCCTGGGTAGAAAATGCCTCGTACAAATCCGACTGACAACACACCTACTTTACAGAGAAACATGGTGGTGGCAGTATAATTCTATGGGAAGGTTGTTTTCCCATGGCAAGGGGAAGGCTGGGCAAAGTTGATGGTAGCTACAGAAATTTAAGGTCAATTTCAGTTTATTTTCCATCAAATTTGTTTGAGTGAAAGTTATCTTTTTGTGAAGAATGGGGAAGTGGCTCAGTATGTATGAGAAGCTGGTAAAACACATCCAACACTTTTAGCAAAAATATAGGCTTAAAAGTAGTTATTTCTCATATCAGATTTCTATTTTCTCTCAAATGTAAAACATCATTTTCATGTTTTCTGGTCAATTACATAAATTCCCATAAAATATTGTTGTTGTTTTTTTACTTTTTTGGAATGACTATGACCTGGATGACAGGATCTTCACCAGCATATTTCCCTCAAACTACTTTTCAGTTTGTAGCTGCTGAGGTTTGTTGGTATTATTTGCAAAAACATGTACATTTTTCAGACCAGTCAAAAAAGAATTCAACAATTCTTTATTTATTACTTTATTACTCAACAAGTCCAATGATACAGATTAAGGTCAGTAAGAGCTCTGAGCGTTACACAAGAGACAAGCAGGATAAAAAAAAAAAAAAAAATCAAGCATCTTCAAAGAAAGTCTCCAGGTTCTCCGTCATCTCAGCCAGATGTTGGGATTCAATCACCTCTGGGTCTGGAGCGGCGGAGGATCCTCTGGTGGCAGGGTTTTCTTGTGACCTTTGCGATGTGTCTGTTTCTCGCTTCATCTCCTTCCCTCCACCCAAAACTTTCTGGCTCTCTATGAAGTACTGGTTGGGGTGGCTGAGAGAGAAAGCACTATCCTCAATCTGTTTAGAAAAAAGTAGAAAGGAGGAGAGGAAGGTCAAGAGAGGGTATCAAGTGTCCGTTATAACAAAGACGGCAGGTTGATTGACTGATTTAGTGCAATGTCACCTTTAATGAAATGATCATTAAATATCTCTCACCCTCTCTGGTTATGATGAGAAATGTTTAACCTGAATTCTTCCCATTACAGGCTTTCAGACAAAAAAACTAATCGAAGTCACTGATGATTTAAATACGGTAATAATAAATGTTATATTTTCATGTAGAGAAAGGTTATCTAGAGGAGCTAAAGCATCTGCTGTGTGACAGATTACAGATACTGGCAAAATTAAAAAGAAAAACTTTGAATTTTGTATGCTCTAGAAAAAAACTCAGATTATTTTGAGTACAAGATTGTGTAGAATAACATCACCTAATATGACTAACAGCAACATAAACAGTAAGAATCCTGGTTTTCAAAGCTGCAATAATAAAGCTGACGGAAACTAAAACACATGAGAATTATCCCATAGCAACATAATTCATTTAACAGAAGAACTTAAGACCTTGTTTTTCAATAGGCTGCTTCCAAATTTATTTACATGTCACGACAATAAGCAAACAAGAAGCGCAATCCTTTGACAGTATTTTAGATCAGAAGTTTTCAGTTTTGGACCAGAATTCATCTCTTCTTAACTAGCTTATTGAAATGCCATGTTAAATTATTCTTATCTCTGCAATTGGATTTACAAAGTAGCACCAAGTTCACCTGAAAGTTTTTTCAGTGCTGAATTTAACTAAATCTAAACGGTATAAAAATAAACGTCTTTCATAAAAATTCAAGACGCATTATCCCATTATGATTACTGGTAATCGAAAAATCTTTGTTTTTTTTCTTTATATTGAAAGGAAATTGATAAAAAAAAAAACTAAGAAATAACATTTCAGTAAGTATCAAAAGCCTTTGCCTAATGTTTAATTTTTGTATTTTACTAGAGTATAGCCCCTTTTATGAGCAACAAAATGGGAGCATGTATTACTGTCTTACTTCTTTACAAATATGCTCTAGACTCAGTTTCAATTAAATACCAAAAGCGCACTTCAAATGCGTTAGCTGTAACAAAAATATAAAATAAAAAACTAATAAAAAGACATTAAATTCCACCAACAAAATGTAAAAATTAAGCAAAAAGGGAGAACTTATGAATCAAAATATAGGCTTACATTTAGAAAAACTTAAAATCACATTAACCTTAATAACAACAGACAAGAGCAAAAAACTATTTTCTATTCAAAATCACATATGAGTGTAAAGGGTTTCTCTTCTTAGATTATTGATATTTCAAAAGTAAAATCGATTAAAATAAGATATAATAGGTTAGAATGACAGAATGGAGCAATAAAAATCAAATGTTCAGACGGTCAACTAATAATGGTTGTAATGAGGGTTTGTAGTGTTTCCGCCTGAGATATAAACAGTAACCGAAAGGGTGACAGTCAATTTCATCTGTCAGCACAGTCTGAACTTACATTGTGGGTCAACTCAAAGTATTTCTGGCACGCCAGCTGATAATGCATTCCTTTGACCAGCTCCAGGATCTGCAAGGAAAGGTAGAAGTTACACCTCAGTCAGTGAAATTATTTCCAAAGGGCAAAGAATCATTCTAACTGGATTTAGGTTTATGAAAAGCACATTTTAACTAAATCCTATTAACTGTTTTAATAAACTGCTCAGACTTTGACTAACTTCCTGCAGAAACAAGTTTCTGTGCAAAACTGAAATCACTTGGTCTCCTAAGAGCCGCTACTTTTAAGACCTTAATATAACTAATTAAAGCCTTTTTCAGCTGTTATATTCGAGGTGTTCATTTAAGGGAAAACAAATGCAAATACTGCTCCTTAGCTCAGATTTGTTTACATCATAATTCCCCAAGCTCCTACTTGCCAGCCTCTGGTGTAATATTGCTACAGGCATTCTCGTCTCTACAGCTGGTGATAGACCAGAAATGAGCTATGCAGAATCCCTCCCAGAAATTACAGTCTCAGAGCAGTTTAAAACAGTTTTAGTTAGAATAAAAAAAATAGTGCTGTGGTTGAAAAGATAAAGGATTAATAAAAAGTAATTAGGAAAGGGAAAGAAAATAGCAGCTCTTCATTGAGATCCATTTCAAATTTCTCTCTAACAAGCATGCTACTATATATATATATATATATATATATATATATGTTTGAGATATATATATATAGTATTAAGTGCTTTAGGGGTCCCCATTTAATCTAATGATTCAAGACAGATTGAGACGAAAAAAAACAAAACAAAAAAACAATAACTTTGGTTTTATTACTGTATGCGACTTAACTCTGCAGATCCAAACACAATAACATTTGCTAAGGCATCACCATGATGATCATGATACAGCTTCAAGAGCATCATTTGACCTGCTGCTCGCACTGTCAACAACTTATTGTCTAATTATCCTTCAATATAAAGGAAGTCCACTTGAACAAATCTCTAAGGAGAAAACTTAATTAAAGTAGTCGTCTCTGCCTTTAATATTGTTTTTTTTTTTTTTTTTTACACTATTTTGTCTTTCACTCTAAGGTACTCTAAAAACAGTGTTTAAAAATAGATTCTGATCACATTGATAATTCAAACAGCTCAACACATAATCTTATCAGGGGCATAAAGATTCCCAGAAGCTCTCTTCAATTTCACTAGCTTCTTTTTCAGCTTGCCCGTTTATTACAATCAATTGTAATCTCGTTCGGCCTTGTTTGAAGACATGGTGCTGCCCTGTTTCACACCAGGAAAACAAAGCTGACTCACTTTAAATGGTCAATGACAGAAGAGTTGCTGGTTCCTAAATGTTTTATTTGACAGAAAGTTCCTAAATTGTTTCCTGGATTTTTCCTCTGCAACTTTAAAACATTTTTTTTTTAGAAACAGACCAGATTGTAAAGTGAGACTTTGTTGTCAGACTAGATGAAACCAACCTGGTTTACTCCACTGGGAGACACTTTGTAGAACTGAAGCTTCTGTTTCAGCAGCTCTGGNAGGGGCGGGGTTAGTTTTTCTAAATAAATTAACCAAACAAGCTGCACTCTTCAGTGTGGAGGCAGTAACTGAGGGAAGAAGTTTAAGGAAGCACAAAATGTTCAATATGCTTCATTGATAAAGAAGAATTTCATTGTAAGATCTAAAGAAGTGTTTTGGGTTGCAAATTCAAATCCAGCTCATCTAGAAAAACAATAGATAATCTTTTTCTCCAATAGCAGCTAACTCACCATGATAGTCGCCTTGGCCGGGTGGGTTTGATAAAATCACCTTCATGCAGCTGTAGGGAGTGTAGTCTGCTCGCTTGCCTTCTTTGCCAAACATGTGGCGGATGCCGTAGGCATATGCTTTATCAAACTACAGAGAGACAAAGGAGGGGGTACAGGAGGAGAGGGCATTAGTAAGGATGAGAGTGTAACAGGGACAAGGTTGGGGTGAAAGAGGCTCTGTCATTCATCATGTCAGTTTTGAAGGGAAGTTTTCCACTGTGAAAGATAGAGCTATTAGAGAGAACCTGCTGTAGAGGTGTTAGAACAGTCCTGATAGCTGCGTTATGGATGCTTTAATGAGGCCATCCTTCTCTGGACTTTTTTCACCTCGTCCTAAACAATACTGACACGACATGAAACGTGTTAAAAAAAAAAAAAAAAAATCTAAGTAGAAATGGAGGAAATTTAAGCACATCCCACAAGTTTAATGTGTAAAAACACTCCATTTCTATATTTGTCTCAAACAGATGGAACTAACAGAGCTTTAAGAAGCTGTCTAAATCAGTTTCAAGCAATATAATTAAAACATTGTGGAAGTGGATCCCCTTGCTTGTTCAGGGGACTTTGCATCCTCAAAGTGAAAGTACATCCATAGTACAGGGACTGAATTTGCCAATGATGAAAACGATTAAAACAATTTCTGACAAGTTTAAATATAGCAACAAATGCATTATACGCAGGGTGATACATTATTTATATATTATTTAGATGATTTTGGTGCATCTGATAATTAAAACATTTGATTATATTTCTTAGAATCATGAAATTTAATAATTTTCATTACAGAAAAACAGCGGTGCAGTGTGACATGGTGGTGATCAGCCTGTGGCTCTAATGGGATAGATTTCATAAACAGTAGCCGTCAGCTTGACTATTGTTGGATCAACCATCTAATCTTCTACTTCAGAGGTTTAGGTCAGTTTTTTTGCTAACCAGTGAAAAAACGTGATGCTCATTAAACAACACCCTTTTATTTTTGGGTTTTCTTGGTACCTTAGAAGGCACCAAGTTATGTTGTAAAAGGAAATCAGAAACTTCAGAGCTTTTCAGCATGGGGTGGGGGGTGGGGTTTTGGGGGGGCTATCTACTAAGACATTTTAGAGCATTGCATGCCCTAAAATGTCTTAGTAGATAGTGAAGCTGAATTTGTACTCAACAGAAAACCCAGCATCAGCACCATCATGGCTGCGCAGGCATGTACCGTATAACTTTTCCTTAAAACAGCAATCCTGTATTAAAAATCCTTTCCAGCTGTCAGAATCTGAGCTTTTCGTTTTTTCAATGGCCAAGCAATGCATAAACTATATCACCGTAAGAAAAGCACGTACGTATCTGTGACAAAGTAGGTGAGAACACCATTTGTCTCAGTTTATACATTTGTTGTTTTCTTGATTTAACCATCTCTTTATTCTGTAGTTTGCATTCATATACTATCCCGGGTTTGTTTATGTTTGCATTTTTAAAGATCATTTAGTATAACATCTTGGTTTAAATCAGGTTATAACTTTTCTAAGTTTTTTTTGATTATTTAACTTTTGTGTTCTATTTTGGTGAACTTACCTTACCTGTCTTTTAGTAGGAAGTGTGACCAAAATATGAATGCAAACTACAGAATAAAGAGATGGTTAATTCAAGCAAACAAGAAAACAACAAATGTATAAACTGAGACAAATGGTGTTCTCACCTACTTTGTCACAGTTTCTCACTTTTTGATTTGAATTGCTGAATAAATGACATTCTGATGCGTTGAAATACACGAGTTGTTAGAATAACGAGTCAGTTGATAGTTAACCAACAACAAATAAAAAAAATGTAAAAAGGTTGTGCTCTATCTAAATTGAATTTGGCAGGTGTGAATATTTGATAGATCATCATTAAAAAAATTAGTTTGGAAACGGAAAAATACTTGATGGCTGCTTTAATAGCTTTTGTGGGTTCGCTGCCAGTTCCCGTGGTCCTGCATTGGTGCTTGTCTTCATATGTTCAAAGAGTCTGTCTCTTTCTGTAAGTAAAACACTGATTATGGATTTTAAAAAGAGAAAAAAAATAATCATAAAACCCAACTTCAAAGAGGCAGAACTAATCCTTTAATCTTTTTAAGAGCATCTCTGACATTTTGCATTGAGGTTTAAATGAAGTCAACTTTTACATGTCTGATTTTTCCAGTCTGGAGAAACCTACGTACAGATTCTCAAGAAGCAAAAACATCAAAGTCAAGAACATAAACTAACCTTGAATAGAATATTTCAAAGTGTTAAAATTTAGGAAACTTTTGGAGAAGCATTTTCCTTTTATAGAACTTTTCTGAGGGGAAATAATACATTTGTGACTCTACCTCCTAAAGAGAAAAACATAATTGTAACACAGTGCTCTGACAGCAGACTATAATCACCAGAACTGCACCCACACATTAATGTTGCAATAAAACCTTTGAACTTCCTAATGTGACAAGCTGCAATGGCAATTTAAAAAGCCATCAAATCTTCTTAAAGTATGATAAATCAGACATTAATTATGCAGAGCTTCTAAGGATTCAAGAGGCCACTTCCTGATTTAAGAGCGCCATAGTCCACAGGCACTAAAGTGTGTTTAATACGTATTTTGTGAACTAATGTGGATATAAAAAGGATCCTAAGTGGTACGCTCATCCACTATAGAGGTTAAAGGAAAATGATGACGCACAGCTAAATGTAGCTCCTTTTTTTTATTGCTTCTTCTCAATGCAAACTATGCAGCAGATCATTTTGCATGAGTAATAAAGATACTAACACAGAAAAATCTTAGATTTAATTGGTGGAAACATCTCTGGTGCAAATGTTTGCTTATAAGGGCCATTTCCCTGCAAGTCATCACACAGGCAGCAGCGCTTTCAAAATAGATTCTTATTTTGTTCTTTTCAACAGGACTCTAAGGGTTTGTAAGCTAGAAAGATGGCAGTTTAAATATATAATAGCACAGTTCCTTAAAAAAAAGTTGTTGATAGAAGAAGTAAAGTAAGAGGAACTACATAAGGTTTTCTTTCTTTACTCACTGATATGTTGTGAAAGTTTCTGCAAACTGAAAGATCCGCTGCTTCTGACCATCCCTAAAACCAGAACATTTGCTGTAGCATCTCCTACATTGTGGAATAGGTTACCCCTAAGAATCTGACAGGCCTCCTCTTTTGAAAGCAAATTTGTATTCCTTGGCTTTTGACACTGATCCAGTTTAGAATGGCACTACTCCTGGTTTTATGTCCATTTTTAATTCTTATTTTTTTCTAGGCTTGTTTAATGTACAGCACTTTTGTTACCCCTACAGTTTTTAAATGTGCTATAGAAATGAAGTTAGTTGGATAAAAGCTGCAAAGTCAGTCTTATTATGATGTGCTTTAGAACCTCAGTTCATATGAATCCATTTGGTTTGCAGTTTGTCTCAGTCCTTCTCTATCAAGAATCAAACCGATCATGATGTTCCCAGCAACATCTATTTTGGAAAAATCTGTTGAGACGAGAGGTGAGGATAGTTACTAATGCCTTGTTGAAATATCTATCCATCCCTCTATCCATCCATCTAAAGTGTTGTATAATAAGCCTGGATAGTAACATATTTATATCAGACCCCCTCCTGCTTTTTGGGGTTTCCTTGCTACATTATTTCAACAAATAATGAGGTCTTGGTCTCTGCATTCAGGCTTAAACAGAAGAGGCAGCCCATCTCTGAAAAACAGGCTTAAAAATTTGCTGTGGGATTATGCTCAGGGTTAGATATACATCAGGTGATTCCTGAGTCATATATTTAGCTAAATTGTTAAAGCTCCCTATTAAGGGATGAGAATACATTCTACACTGTGCTTCAGGTTAAGGATCTTAATATTTTCTTCCATAGGAAATATATTCCTGTCCTTCAAAATAATCTTTTATCCCAACTCTTGCCGATGTTTAAACTGTCGTATAATCTCGATTATGACAGATTATATAAGCATGGATTTAACTATAATTTTTAATTTTAACTTTAATTGATATGAAATCAACTTTGTAGTAATTTTCTCTGAAAGGGCATATCATGCAAAACAAAGTTTATTTCCTGTTTTTTCAAACCCTAAAATTCTGGGGCAATATAGAATGAGGTAGGAGCCCCCTTAAAGTGCACTTATAATTCCGACCAAAAACAATGTTTTAGGAAAATCTCTTAATGTTATTCTTTTAAACCAAATCAGCTGGAGTGCTGGAGTGCCATAACCGGAAAGCTGGTGCTTTCTCCAACAAAACAAACTTGCTTCAGCATTAGAATGATCTCATCTCTGCCTTAGGTCAAAACTGTTCTTTAGTCTTGCGCAGGAAGTACCTGAAACTTAGAGTGACGCTTTTTAGTTTAGATGGAAAAAATAAAAATAAAAACTTCAGTTATTGGGCTTAAAACCCCTTTTGTGCTTTTAAATCTGCTAAATTTAAATTAGGTCAAATTTACCCATCTGTAGTCCATTTTCTTATTCTCATAATCTTTTATTACAGTTTAAACTAGATATTTACACATATTTTATAAAATAAACTTTTTTCTCCCTACTGAACAGTAAAACTGAATTAAGTTCTAATACTTGAGGACAGTTAGGATCAGCAAAGTATTTCTAAAATAAAAAAAGATTTGTTTACTTCTTCATTTTAAAACAAACATTTCCTAAATGACTTGGGTGAAACATTCATGGTAGACTTCATCTGTCTTCAAGCAATAATTTGCTAAAACCTGGAGTATTTCTCTAGACTGTAGCAAATGAAATAAAGCTGTAGTTTGTTTTGATTATCTTAAGCTCGCTGGTTCTGCCCATAAAAATCAAAGCCCATTCAGACCTTTAAGATGGCCTCTTCAAAACACTGACCAATAACTTGACAGTTTAAAAACCCATTTGTGTCTAAGATTCAACTTTCTGTATCAACTCTTGCTTTAAACTTTATATTTTTATTATATTAGGTCATTATTTTTTGGGAGCTGGACAGTTCATCCTCTAGTAAAACATAATGCTCCTTTGTAAAAACACACAAGCTGTGGTTAGAGGGCAGGTTGACCAAATTCAAACAAGGCTGCAGTCTCACTTCTGTGATCACAAACTGGGTAATGTTTTCCTCATGATTTGCCATGTCAGCTGTAGTGTTTTGGTGGTAATCTGGCTATTTCAGGTTGCCTTTGGGGTTTTGGGTTACTCCTCACCCAGTGACCTTTAAGTGGATGTGGGTATAAGGACTAACTTCACTGTGGATAATGACACTCCTACCAGCTGCACTCAGCATCTTCAAAATCTTATTTGCTTTGGATTGATGCATGCATGACTGAAACCGACTCATCTGAGACACAAGTTGGCTCTGATCTGAACAAAATGACAGTTGGATGTTTTCACTTATATATAATTTTTTTGAAAAAATGAATTGGTCACCTTGAATTGATCTGAGATTTATACGAAGGGAAAAGCAAAACATCCACAAGTTTCTGATACCTAAGATGATGTCTTTTGCTTTTTCTATTTTATAGAAGGAAGAAGAGAGATGTGCAAGTTTAAAACTCATCCACCTCTTGGCCAGTGAACACAATTTTTTATCAATTTTAAATTTACAAAGCCATGACTTCATCTGTAAATTTGAAGGGATATTACTTACTGTAAATTGCATGTTCCAAAATCTAAACAAGGCTAAAAAAAAAAGAAAAAAAAATCTCGGTAGTCTGGCACCCAGAAAACAGCCCTACTTTTTCTTTCTGACCTGAATCAGAAAATGATTAGTCAGATTTGATGTCAGCCAAAAGCATCCTTTATTAGCCCTGCCCCAGCACTAATCTAAAAATGGTGTCAGCTGTAGAAAGAAATTAACTCAAAGGTCTGTAAAACAAGTAGTTCAACAGCAGCCCCACCCCAAGGCTACAAAACACTACAGAAAAGTGGCACAAAGACACTCCTCCAAATGAATAGGCCAACTTCTGTGGCAAGAAGAAGGGATAGATCAAGTTAATTTCATCAATTCTCCCTCTCCCGCTAGTCTAATATTACATCGCCTCTTCCTCCGGGCCTTCCTTTCGGCATCGCTGCCTCTCATCTTCCTTCTCTCCTCCTGTCGCATACTAATGAGAAGGCTTTGTGCAGCATGCCACAAAGTGCAGCTCCTGACACAACACATACATCATTGTGAGAGCTGCGAGCTGGTCAGCACCATTCAGATGCCTCCGCTGTAGAACAAAAGTAGGGCTTTGGATGCTATACATGGAAACTAAGACCCTTTAGCAAAGGCCCACAACAAAAGTCCTGTATTTAAGCCCGACTGATGGCGAGATGTTAAGAAAAATTTAAAAAATACATAAAGCATTACTTGAATACAGTAAGAGTCAGTCATTTGCTTTTTTCTCTTTTGACATGAATTTCTCTTTCAAATGGGAAAAAGGTTCCTTTAAAGTTCTTGTGTCGAATAGAAAAGTCTGATGGAAATAAATTAATCATTCTGAATTTATTCTTTAGAGACCAAGAAAAAAAAATCACAATTAAAAAAATAAGTTTGCTTTCTAAAAGGTTTTTGCATAAACTTTGAAAAATTTTAACTAGCTATAAGGCTTTTGTTTACTTTCCAATTAGTAAGGCAGCCTTGCAAGCTCTGACGATTTTTCCTTCCAGCAGAATTATTGCCTTTTTAATTAAAATCAAATAGCAGGAGACCATTTATATCAAATAAAGGCTTGCTCTTACATCTTTTGTTTCCAGAACAATTGCATTTCCTAAAATTGAACCTTTGAAATTTTTCAAATATAAGAACCCTTTTTTAAAACAGGCATTTTTATTAGGTTTTATTATTGAATGCATGTGGTAGCGACCACAAAGTCATACATTTATTAATAGCTGAAGAAAATTATACCACTTTAGCATTTTTCAAGAAAAAACAGGATTTAATACTTCAAAAACATGTTAATCTTTATCAAAACTCTTCCAAATCTCTGAAATCCCAGACTCTGCTGGTAGAGGGATTCAAACAAAGTCACATTTAATGAAGAGCATCAGTACACATACATTTTTAAACTTTGTTATCCATTCTAAAATATAATTATATTTTCAAGAATTAATATCTAACCGTCTTCATATTTTGGGTCACTGTCCTGCTCAGAGATGACGCTCCGCCTATCGCTGGGCAAAAAACAAAATCAATTTTATTGATTCATTTGTTCCCATTTATGAAAACATCTGTTTTCTTTTTATTTTTTTAAATCAGTAATAAACCTTTGGGCTTTGGAAGTTTGGAGTGGCATCATCCCATCATTTGCATGTGCAGTAAGTGGGAGTGTTAACAGGTTCGATATATCCCATTAAAAAGAGCTCTTTTTAAATATATTTATTTATTAAAGAGGCCAAACCGTTTGTCAATATCATTACCTTCCACTAAAGTATCTTAGTCATGTTGCAATGCCTTGTTACAGCAAGACCGTCTCATTTTTGAACACATCTCCTGACATTTTACTGCATTTTGAGTCTTATTGGTGTAATATATTCAAAGTGCCTTATGCTACCTTAAATTAGTAAGTGGTGTTTATCCTAAGAAGGATCATGCTTCTAAGCATATTTCACACCCTTTTTCTGTGACATGACCTAAAACAGCAAAAGCTGCAAATCTGTTTTTTTCTTTGCAAGATTTAACTATAAATATCAGTTTATTTGGAACAGATGCATTGCTTTTCAGAGAAGCTCTAAGACTTGTTAAAAATATTTAAAGACCCTTTGCCAACAGGCTTTTAAGATCTAATTTAAAATGTGCATTGATGGCTCTGAACAAATGAGAATATTCCACCCAGAAGTGAATACCAGTAATGTCCCAATGAAAGTGTTTCGTTCCTAATCTGATCAAGCATCTCCTCTTCTGCTCTACTAGCTCTGTTTTATGAGATTCATGCAGCTCCTGGTAATACGGAGCCACACAATGAAGAATTGATCCTATTAACAGGGAAGCTGGTTAATAACACTGCAACAATCAGAGCTCCAAGTTTCTGCAGCAAAGCCAATTAAACTTCACATCAGATAGCATGCTTCTTACATGGTTGCAAACTAATGTCATACTGCCAGCCGGACATAGCAGGGGTTAGTTACCCTTGCTCTAACATTTTCAAGGGGAAAGTTAAATTCCCCAAATTGTTATCCACAGAGACTGGTAGGTCATCCAGGGTGCTGAATTTAATACCTACCCTGTAATTCATTTTGCTATTTGCTAGTCCTGTGGAGATTGAACTATTCTCTTTGAAGCTTTTCCCCCCACAGTGTATTTCAGAAGAATTTTTGGCTTCTAAAAAAGCAGAAAGGAAATACAACTTCAAAAAATTGTTTTTCAGCAAACCCTAACCAAAGTCAGCTAAATGAGCATGATATATCAAGCCAAGCTTTTAATATTAGTCGTCTAATTTAATCAGTAGAACTAAACGAGACTCTGTCTCTGTGGCACGAACCAGTGGCTGATTTTGAAATAGTTCCACATAACAGATGTTTGGATTGTGTGGCTGTTGCAACATGTCCTGCCAACACTCTTTAAAGCAGCTGCATGAAGCTCAGCTGGTTGCGGAAATGAGCAAACAGAACCAAAGGACACCAGTCCTGCCCTAATGTAAGGCTCCATGTCAAAATTCAAGCATCACTTTGGACCTGATATGTTTCTAAAATGATATAACAAATGTAGGGAGTGATATTTCCATTTATTAGCATTAATAAATTATAAGTTTCCCCGAGTCGGTTCATGCTGTATGTCTATCAGCTTTTTAAGTGAGGAAATTGAAATGCTCCCCATTTATGTTTGATAAGTCAAATAAGACGGAGAGTGTCTGAAAAGCAACTTCTAATTGTTGCCAAGAGATTCTAATTAGATGATATCTGGATGAGCGAGATGTTTTAACACGTAAACATGCTCTGATTCACACCATCTCACAGTGGTTCTGAAAGTCCTGCTGGTGGGGAAACCTCCACCCATCATTTACAGTCTTTTTATACATAAATATTACTGTTGCAACTAAAGATTATTTTGCAGATTGATTAATCTGTTAATTATTTTTTCGATTAATCGATTAATGATTGGATTTTTTAAAATAAATTAAGCCAGTCGAAACTAAAACGTTTCTACTTAAGGAGTTTTGGATAGAGCATACGTATTGACAGACATTTTTTTTCTTTTCTTCTTAAATGCAAAAAAATTTACATATTTCTTTCTATTTTGATCCTTTTTTTTTTCAATAATCAGTTAAACATATATATATATATATATATATATATATATATATATATATATATATATATATATATATATATATATATATATATATATATAGTACTCGTGAATGAACATTCTATAAATTCAACTCTATTCTAAATCACTTCTGCTTTGATTAAAACAATTAATTTCCTTTTATAATAATCAACTTTGTTTTATAAACTGGGGAATAGCCTGACTGTGAATGATTTTGAACTTAACTACGGTAGATAAGAAACACATTTTGTCAGTACCAATGATTTTATTTGAAACAATTCTATATCAGCCTACCTGATGTAATACATTTTAAAAAGTCAAACCTTCAGTGTGGGATGAAGTCAGTCCCGACAAGCATAATAAACTGGGTCATTCCTCTATTTATAATTCATTCACATTTCGTTTTCTATCATATTTTCATAATTTTTCTCTATAAGCAAGCAAGAGCAAATTAAACCCCAGTCTAGTTATTAAAACCAACATTACCTTGTCTGCATCCACTTTTCCTCGTATGAACTCCATCCTCCAGAACTGCAGCGCCTGTTCCAGAGAGAGGCCGATGCCTTTCAGGAAGAGACCATACTGCATTCTGCCTCCGTGGCGAAGATGGTGGTTCTCCCTGAGGGCCTGGTGAAGCTGCCTCATACAGAGCGGGAAGGACTTTCCTGCAAGCTGAAAGAACTCTTAATAAGATTCAAACACAATAAGTTACTGCCCTACTTTATCCTATGCATGTATAAACAGGAGGACCATTTTCAAAAAATAATAACCCTCTTTATTTGCCATTGCATCTTTACAGTTATAATTAATTTGGTCGCCTGCTTTTAATTCAACCCTTAGGGAACTATGTCCAGGGAGGCATTCTGGGGTCTGGCTAAGGGTCCTTTAGCCCTGGATTAGAACATGGAACCTGCAGCATTCAAACTACACAAGAGCCCTGCTCCAATCACTGCCCCCTCCCATACCCCTCCCCACATTAATCTCACTCAGTGACCACCGTCCAGTGTGTTTTAGAGGTTTCCCTCTTTCAGCACACCTGACTGAAAACAAATGGTTTGTTAACAACCTTCTGCTGGCCCTTAATGACACGCTAAGGAGGTAATTCAATCATGTGAATCTGGGCTGTTGAGGCCAGAAATAATGCTCCGTTAGTGCAGCAGGTTGCATTGCATCAGGGAAAATACCTTGTTGGTATATAACATATTTTCTCCAGTACTAGTGGTGCTTTTGGTTGTTTCTTAGGTTAAAATAAAAGTCAACTACAGGACGGTAGTGTGTGCTATGTGCATCCTGCTTCCTTTGTTATTCCACCTCTAGGTGACCAGAAATTCTATAAGCATCTCGTTTCACTGCTCATCACCTTTCATCCAATAATAAAATAAATAAAAAAATAAAAAAAACACAAAAAAAACCATAAAACCTTGCATTGATATTTCAATCAAATATGATCAGTGCAACTTACTGAATCAATTTGCTCTAAGGAGATTTTCCCAACATTCTTTTGGATGCTGTAATCCTGTCCCAAATACGAATGGCTGAAATGAGAGAAGAGGACATCAGGGTTGTTTTTTATAAGAAATACATTTGCAATAAAAAATCAGAATAGGCTGAAATGTGTTTCAGGATAGGAAGACAAATCAGACTTTGCGGCTGCACCTAAACCTGTGCCGAGTCCCAATTGATGGGTTATTAAATCATTATTTGCTCTCCCTATTGTAAAGATTTCTAATTTGGCCTCTCAACTCAACAATATATCCACTAATTCTCAACAACAATCTGAGATAATCCCTACTTCCATCTGTGTATTAGGCTTTTAACTACCAAGGCAAAATAAACATCCCCTGTCAAACATTATGCAAAATACTTTATTTCTTCCTGTTTTTTTAAACTAAAACAAGCACAGACAAAAAAAACCACTTCCAAAACATTTTAGCTAGTTGTAGATAACCATAACTTTATAAAAGTTGCTGGCTAATACTGATGCTTTTACGAAACTTCTATTGACCGCAATGCACTGGTGTTCACCAATTTATTAGTGCATTCAGCAGCCTTGAGATCACGAAAGAGGTATGCATTGTTGCTCCCTTCATTTGCTTTCTATTGTCAATCTTTTGTTTGATTCATTAATAAACATCTTTGTATTGTTTAAAGGTACAGTGGAGGATTTTCGTGAATTCTTGAAAAGACCGCTTTCAAAAAAAATGCACATGCATAACCTTGTACCCACTCCCAAGAGTGAAAGCCTATTAAATGCGTGCGAGAGCATGCACGAGCCTCATGCACGCTCTGTTTAAAAGTTGCTGTTTGCATCATTCATGCAAGCTTACTTTCCAAAAGTAGATTTGCAAATTTTTTGCAATGTAGGACTATCTTACATAAACATATCACTTATGTTTGATGATCCACCCAGACAAAGATCATCCTCCACCATACCTTTAAATTCAGACTTGCATAACATTTGTCAATATTGTTTCAATGTCATCATGTAAATTGAGGGAAAAAGGTGATATCTGCTTCCTAATCTGTAAAAGCAATGTCAGAAAAGCTCAAAGAAGATTGGGGGTAATTGTACTATTAATAGTAAATGCCAAGAACAACTTCTATAAGAACTTAGTCTTTGTGTCCAAATGCAGAGCTGACCACAGCCACTCCTCTCTCTCTATGTCCCCAAGTGGGACATCACTTTTGCTCCCAATAGACAGTGTCCATTATGTCACACTCTTTCTGTCCAACTACTGTGATAGCATAACAAACCAGGAGGCAGCCCTCCAATTCATTGATCCTGCATAAAGAATGATGGTTACTGTATATATAGTTGGTAAAGGGGTGTAAAAAACTAATTCGATAAAAAAATAAAGTTACGTTTTCATTACATCCCAAAATGAGGAGCAAAATCTACCATGAAGCATTGATTGTTTGTGCCTAATATTAAGAGGATATGTCATCTAATATGAAACAGCTTTGCTCTGAACTCTTCACAAGTGCAAAGAACATTTTCAGCCGGTTTAAATAAGTGGAGCTTTAAACAAATGAAATCTACATGTAAACTAAACAGTAGAACAGAAAAGCCTTGTTAATACATCTAAATGCAAATGTTCATATTATGTTAGATTCACATTCATCCCAAATTTGAGATTATAAATAAACACCATTCATTTTAAATGTCCAAATGTTTCAATTACTTTAATGGAAAATGGTTGACTTAGCCTGCATTCAGCCTTTGTCCTTCTTTTTAAGACATGTAATCTAACCTGTGTCTGTAACACGCTCCAGCACTTGATAAAGCCATCACTAATAAAAAAAATATGCATATAAAAGCCTAGGTAATGCCGTTTATCAGTTTAACATAAATATGGCAGATTTTCAGAGTAACTTCTGTCCAGTTTTTTTGGAGCTATCTAGAAACATAATTAAAGATGGATCATAACAGCAAGTATAAAAAAAAAAAAAAAAAAACTGAGTCAGCATTTTCAGTTTTAAGCGTTACCCAGCCAGTGATTGATAAAGGCCACAAAACTCTGAAAGACTGAACTCCATTAGTGACGATAGACGATTTTAATCTGGGTTTCTGGATAAAGTAAAATGACCTCCTGCTTTATGTTAAAGAGGAACATTAGTTTGTACATAAACTGACACCAACCCTGCCTATTTATATATAAAAAAAGCCACGTTGACCTAGCTATGCTCCACTTTTAATGGTTTGAATTCATGCTTTGATATGAGAAAAATGAAAAGCATTATGAAATATGAAACATGATTCAATATGAAAATTGAAACTGGTATTAAAGAGTAAAAGATGTTTCAATATTCACTTTTATCATCTGTGAAAAATATTCATTAATCTATTTTTTACCCTGATTCAAAGTTATTACAACTGTTGACATGTTTCTCTCTCAATGGAACAATTGAATATATGAAAACACTCCAGTTCTGAGGAGTCTATTACCATAAACATGCACATTTGCAGAAATATGGGAAAACAAAAATGTCATCCAGTAGCCCATCTCAAAGATGACAAAGAAAATTACATCAGTAAATGATTTCCTACATTAACATAACAAAACATCCCTCAGAGGCCAGATTCTGTTGTGTTTTTTGTTGGGTTTTTTTGTGACAATATTCTTTTTTAACAAAGCCACTTGCAAAACGATTGCAGAGGTTTTAATCCTGCCGCTTACCTGAGGTGGTTAAGAAGCGGTTGGAGGCGTTCATCAGAATGCACTGCTGGTAGAGAGCGTGCTGTCAGCTGCAGAAAAGATGGTCATCACATGAATAATGTCTAGGTCAAAGGATTAGAAAAACCGAAAGCTGCAGATCTGTAGAACCCAACAGCTGGAAGGTTTTTGCACAGAAAACTAAAACTGAAAATCTTTTAAAGTGTTTTTCAGCATCTTTTTTTACTGAATAAAAAAATCATATCAAAGGGCAATTACTCCACAATACCTTTAAGGAATTAACCTGATTTTACTGTCTGCAGTGTTCCAATGCTATGAGGAGGTAATTTTCCTGGTTATCTCACAATTTCTGTAATAGCTGCTTCAAAAGCACAACAATTAACAAAAAACATCGACACAGAGCTCGTGCAACGAGTAGCGGACTGTTAACTCGGAGCGTGAAAGCCTTTAAAGTGCAAATGGATGTTAAAACAGCAGCAAAGCATAGTCTTTAAACATCTGTAGCATATAAAACAACTGTTGAATAATGTCTTACAACCTCTGAGTAAATCTAGCTTGGGTATTCAAATGCAGCTTAAGGCTGAAAACCCATAAGGCCAATTTAATGTTAAAGCAAACCTGCAGCTCTTATCAAATATAATCCTCAACTAAATCAAACTATACTTTAAATTCATGTCTTCTCTGGCATTTCTATATCTTACCTATTTTTTTAAGATGTAAATCTAAATCATAGAGACAAAGGCGCACATTTCCAGAAAAACAAAAACAAAAAAGCAATAATGTTCTGGACAATTAATCCATTCCAACCATTAGTGGTGCAGATAATAACTTGGAAATGGAAGCCTGTTTCTTTATTTGGCCATGTGTTGGTTTGTCATTAGCTTGCTCTGCCTGTTCCTTGATGGAGGACATGTGCTTAGATCAAACCGAATAAAGAGCATCAAGCTCACTTTGCCAACAATAGAAAATCTGCACCTAAAAGTGTATTAGACTGAGAGTGGACCAGAGAATTGATTTTGTTTTTGAAACCTTTTCAAACAAAAAAAGCAAAGCCTGTGAAAGCTTTAGTGCTTTGTTACACAGCAGGCACTCTGAAGACAAGAGGGTTATTTTACCCATCCTCTATAAATCAGGCGATCATGCTTTTCAAGCTGCTAGAAAGGGTTTCAACTGTTTAAACTGCAGATGGTCCTTTCAATTCATATTCTCAGGAGAGCCTAATGCTTAACATAAACACAAATAAGATGTTTGACAAGATGGTCATTGAACGAGACTTTGTTAAACTTAAAATAGTTTGAAAAAAAAAAACTTGTTTATATCAGTGAGGAATTTCTCATGCACCGAAAAGGAAGCTTTCAGACCGACTTAAATATGTAGAAATATACACCATTTACTTTAATTCTGCTCGTCCCTTAAATGTAAAACTTGATGAGTTTGGTGTAGTAGACCCAAACATTTAAAATATGCAAACTGTAATCAGACACATTTATTATAAAGGCCTAAAGATATACCCTAAATAAACCAAAGATTTTAAGATTTACAGCTGAATACAGCTGATAAGTCAGATTTGTTTTTCTTTTTACTTACCCATCACCACTTACAAAGAGGTGAAAGTGAAATCAACGATCTAGCACTGTGACATTAGAGTCTCTAATGTTCTCTTTACTATGCTTGCTGCCCAAGCAGTTGTGAACCTTTTCCTCGTCTTACTAGCTCCATCATAAAACCTGCAGCACTTTCTTCTCTTATGTGTAATAACCTGGAGTCGGTTAAAAATTGGATTCACCAGGTCAGACCTTTGAGAAAAAGTAGATGGTTTTATCACTGTTATTTGCTAATAGTTCTACCACTTCCAAAAGAAAGTCTCTTTAGATCAACGGTAAAAGCATCTAATTAGCACAAGTTATGTCTCATTTATCATACAATCCCACTGGCTTCGGTTTCTGATGAAGTTCCAACTCAGTCTGCAGGCTGGACTCCTCTCTAGCATTGTCGCCTTGCATACATAACAAGGAGTGCCTCCGGTTCCAAAAACCCTGCGCCTCTACTCCCTCGGGTTATTAAGAGTAAACATGAGCCTTAAGATCCTGCACTGCCATGGAAGCTCCACTACAGCTTTAAAAAAAAAAAAAAAACGCTACTACACCAAACATCAGGCCTGCCAATTGTTGCCAATCTTCCCTCCAGACATTTTATGTCGTGTTCGCACACTTATTCTGCTCATTTGAACTCTGCATTTCTCCCTCAAGGCAACAAAGTAAACAGCTGTAATTTACTAATCTGCCTCATACATCCAAGCTCTTAATAAACATGTGCATTCAAATGAAGTTCAAGCATTCAGAGAGACGCTTGTGCATGTAGTGCAACTATGAGGAGAATGCACTGCAATGTTTAACACCATAGAAACGCTCAAGTGTTTAATCTCTCATGCCACTCAAGGATATGTGATTTGTAGTATTATGACATAACAATCCTTCAGTCACTGTGTTGTTTTAAATTAGAAAACATCCATAGATACTTACTGCAAGAGCTTTAGAAAGCCTTGTGCGGAAATCATTGAGAACAATGGTGACGATATCATTATGAGGAATGAATGCATAGCCGTCCTTCAGGTACACTTTCCTTGCACGCACCAGGTCAAGGGCATCCTGAAAAGGAACCTTTAAAAAGACATATTTTATCAACCAAGCCTGAGGAAGCATCGTAGCCACTTAAAATGGAGTAATTTATTCAAAAATATCAGGATTAAGGAGATTTGGGGATTGAAAGTTTGCTGTTTACTCAAAGATTAACCCAAATTTTAGCGCTGCAAGGGAGAATGATTTATGCTCTGCTCAATGAAATGGAAATTACAGCCAATTAGCAGCCGAAGCAACCCCCACACTTAGTGTTCAGATTGTGAACTGAATGCAGCTTTAAATGAAATCACTTATTAAAACTTTTCTTACAGTCTTAAACCTTTAAGTTCTACGTTAATGATTTAACATCTTCTGCCAATTATAAATGTGGCCATACAATATAATCAACTGCTTCAGGATAGAGCTACACAAAAAGATCATTAAATAAAACTAACTTATTGTTTTTGTCCAAAATGTTTTTCTCAGAATAACACCATGTATCGGCACAAAAACTATAGAAAATGTTTATATTCTCTTTTAGATAAATAATTTTCATGAACCTGTATTTTGGTTGAATGCAAGATGGCAGAAATTAAACAAATTGATCCGAATGAAGAAGTTTTAAACTGAAGCCATGATATTTGCTAAAAGACTCAAGGTGAGCGATGATAATGGTTCAAGGCCATTTTAAAGCTATGTCACTTAAAGCTATATAAGACCAGTGAAAAGATGGTTTAACAAGAGAAAATCCCAAATACTTGTACGACTCATGGCCTAAAACATTAAATCAGGTTTCATCCAGGCTTTTAGCTAGCAATGTGTAAGGCCGTGCATTGTATGCATCTAAAAATGATCTCCTGTTTCACATATCTCATCTAATTTCACACATGCTTCCCATAATAAAAGTCAAAAGTAGAGTTGTAGCAAAGACAAAAAGTTAGCTGCATTCCACCTCAAAATGCAGGACGTAGCTTTTCAGAGTCTAAATTTCAACGTTTTCTTGGGGAGGCTATCCCTGGACCCCCCTATGCCACAAAGCCTAAAGATGTGATACACCAAGGTGTACACCCTTTGAGATATTCCTAGCTAAAAGCTTGGTTATCATCAGAGTATAATATTATTTACCAGGTCTGAATGTTTTCCATAGAATAAAGATTTTGAACTTGAAATCCAAGTCCTTGGTCCTAACATATGCTGAATACAGCAGATGATCTAACACAGATTGAAGACAACTGGTGCTCTTTAGCAGGGGTCTTCAACGTTTTCAAGGCCAAGGACCCCCAAACTGATGGCAAGATGAAGTGGGGACCCGCTAATTTGGTATGAAAATTACCCTAATATTGTATAAAATTGCGTTATATCAGCCTGCTCCTATAGTCACTCTATTACATATGGAGTCATGTAACAAAAGTAATTTCCCTCTGAGAATATTAAAGTATTTGATTCCTGGTTGATGGGACAGGTGTTGTAAATGAAACGGTGCCCAGATTGAAAGAGCTCCTGAGTGTCGCTGAATGTGCGCATTGATGACTGAAAGACATCTTCTGCCTCCATTTATCTGTTTACTACAGTGTGTTAAATTCATGTTAATGTGTATTTAAAGGCATTTTAATTAGTGGGAAAAAATTGCAGTGGGGAACATAAAAAAAATATAAAAATTTAAAAAAGTAATCAACCAAAACTTTTGCGACCCCCATGCAGTACCTCCACGGACCCCCTAGGGGTCGCGGCCCCACTGTTGAAGACCTCCGCTCTAGAGAAATCCGGATCAAGATCCTCAACATTTTTTTTTTTTAATCAAAAATAAATAAATAATAATAAAAAAAAAAGTTCTGTAAAATCTGAAAAAAATTTCCATATTTTATTTCATTTTTTTCTTCACTGTTGCAGCCATCTTCTTTACTTCAGGTTTTCATGTTTGTTTTTACTGCATCAATAAAATGATGTTTGGATTTCTTTGCATCTTTGTACTGAATGATAACTTTGTGCAAGAAAATTCAATTTGATCCTTGAATTTAGTTTAAAAAGAAAATCTGATTTAAAAAGTAAACGAAAATAATAATATATTAAATTATATTATCTCATATGTTATTAACTTCATACAACATAACTGTGTTTACTTGTGTTTCTGTTGAATTGTGAAGAATGCGTCACATTTGAAGCTCTTTTTTTCTTCTTAATATTTGCTGCTTGTTTTTTTTAATGCACATTTAAAGACTAACTATTGTAACTAACTACCGACCATAAAAGTCTCAGAAATCAGATTCCTGCTCTGGGGAAAGTCCTCCTCTAGCTCTGGAAAGATATTTAGGTCCCGTGAAAGATCTGGACATAGATGGTTCATTGCCACTAATCTAGGTAAAAAAAACTCCTTAAATTGTAGAAAATTTAGACTTTTTATAATTTATCATTTTGATCATGCTACTGTAGGAAAAATAACAACAGGAGATAAAGTTCATAAAAACATTTTTTAAAGATGTTAAAACAAATTATGTTTTGTCTTATTCCATTCATGTAGAACGTATTCAGTATTTATTACAGTATTTGTGAAAATCAGAACATCTTAAACAGTTGATCAAGGTCACTTTTTTACATTAAATATGTGATTAATGCACTTAAAATGTTACTACTGAGAGTGAACTGACACTGTCAGCCCCCCTTAGAAGAAATAACTCACTTTGTAGAAGTCCTCATTCTCCAAAGTGACTCCACTGACGATGTAACTGGAGTTAAGAAGTTTCTCCTTCAGTTGATTCTTCTCCTGGACACTAATCTGAAAGATTATGGAAGATTTTTAGTGAAGAGACTCAAAGGCCTGAACTGTGTCATCCATTAGTTCAATTCTTATTTGACATATCACTCGAGACAATACATTTATACAGCATTTATAACCTTTTTTCATAGTATGTGTTTCAGAATTAATTAATTCATACACTTTTAAAAATCCATATCTATATTGCATTAAGTTAGAAAATAAGATCATTGAAAGAGTTATACTAAAAACAGATTTTGCCTCATGTAAGACAAATGTTAAAGTTTCAAAAAGCCAGAAAAGCAACAACTACAATTTAAAGTCAGCAAAAGGATGATGCTCGGGGGTTCAATGATCAAACTACCCCACCTAGTGGAGAAGAATATACATGAAAACATTTCTGATCTCTTTTCTACTTTTTTGCTGATATCTTTTTTCTTCTTTCTTTATGTCACTACAAAAAAAGACAATATGTAACATTAAAGTTCAAATGATAATATGAAAGATTAGGATATGGTTTGTTTTTATGCCGCTTTAGCTAAATATGCTTACATATCTAGATTTGATATCCTGATTGGCAGACAGTTAAAACAAGTTTATATGATGGAATATTTAAGCCTGGGTTTAAAATGACAGAATCAAGAAAGAGTCTTTCAAAATCTGGAAGAAAAACACTTACTGTATTGTACTGGAGATTGTTTTTGTGAAGAAAGTCCAATTTCTGTTTGCTAGTTAGGTCATTAAAGCGGTATCTGAAGAGATCAACCTCTTGTTGAATAAACCAGCGTCGTAGATCTTCACTGCAAGAAACCAATGGAAAAACAAATATACATGTGAGCCCCATTGTAACCTCTCTTTATGTCAGGAACATGAAAACTCATGACTTACGTCTGACAGTAGGCCAGCCTCAGAATGAAGTGTGAGATGTGGTCTTTTCGTCGTTTCTCTGCCCCATCCTTAAAAAGTATAAAGCGAACAGTAGATAATGTAATACAGGTTCAGTTACAGCCCTAAATTATTTTTCTCGGTAAAGTAAAACAATTACATAGTGCAACAGAAAACAGAAATGTTTGCCCAATTAAACATATTTATATCCACTTGATGCTTGGCCGGTGCTCCCATTTCAAATTGCAACATCAGTGAAATAAGCATCAGTCGAGTACTGGCACATTCTTTGTGAAAAAACACAAATGTCTGTGCAGATTTAAAGGTTTTATTTAATTTCATATCATGCAAAAAACCAGTAGTTGCACATATTAGCTGCTGTATTTATTCTAAACATTTTTTTTTTGCCAAATATATCTTTTTACACTATATAAAATTCTTACTTTTCTCTCAATCATACATGATTTTTGGACAACTGGTCCCTATAGAAAATCTATTATAACGCATACAGCCCATGATCTCAGCAGATCAAAGTTATGGAAAGGAGGTTAATTATATTAGATTGAGTCCATGTCAGCTACAGTATCCAATGTTATAAGCTGAAGTTATTTTCTGACATGCTTTATCCCGAGTGGGGTCAAGCAGGGTGCTGGTGCCTATCTCTAGCCGTCTACGGGAGGGGTAGGAGAGGCAGGGTACACCCTGGACAGGTAGCAGTCCATCGCAGGGCAACATAGAGACAAAAAGGACAAAACTTGAGATGCTAGCAGGACTTTTGAAATGGTTTAACTTCCAAATCTTAAATGCTGCAGAAATCCATATTGTTTGTGCATCTTTTACCATTAAACTAGTTCTTCCTTCCACTCACTTTCCCCATTAATACATCGCCATACAGTGCTTTCAGACAGGCAGATTCTGGAGGATATCCATGGCTTTCTATTAGAGAGCATCACGTCAGCACGTCCTCATGATTGCATCGGCTATAAAAGGAATTTCTATCTCCAAACTCATATACATATATACATATATATATATATATATATATATATATATATATATATATATATATATATATATATATATTTTTTTTTATCTGTGAGCAACAATCTTCAAAAGTAACATAATTAGACTGAATATAAAACACTGCTGTTTGGGTAATACTACAGGATTTGTTTTCAAACTTAATTATTAAAAGTGAATGAGCCATTAAGTGAAGAACTAGATGCATCTGAAAAATGTTTTAGTTAGTATACTCACTTCTGTCCTGTATGGGAAGTTCAGTGTTTTAAACTCAGCTTCCATTTTCTTTGAGTATTGCTCTGAATGTTTCACATAACTCACTCCTAGATTCTCCACCGTCTTCAGTACTGCAAAAGCATCATGGGGAAGACATTAAAAAAACACAACACATTAACATCAGCTTAGATTTATATATATATATATATATATATATATATATATATTCCCATTACAAGCTATAACCAACACCTGCAGAAATATGATCCAGATAGGAACAATTAGATTGAAGTCTTACATTTCAGTCTGTCAACAGCAAAACTCTCAAATTCAGAGAGTGAGATGTTTTCCAGAGGAGGCTGTCCATAGAACTGCAGAGGCTGTGCATACAGCTCAGTCTTGGGGTTTGGAACAAGCCTCTTTTTTCTGTTAATAAACTGCATGGTGCCTAATGGTGAGAAAACCAAACAATGTTATATACATGCATGTAAAACAACCTTCAGGTCCTTATAAGAGTTATTTATTCTAAACTATCTGCATTTTTATTACAATCTGTGCAACTGGGAGGTAAAATATAAAGGAACCAGGCAGAGGAGATACTATAGCCTGTATGCATATAGATTGCACAATATTAATATCACTATTACCAATTAATGCAGATATCACATTATATAGCTTTATGTCCAAAATTCAGAAAGTCATTAGTGTCTTTATTTCATCTCAGAACCTCTACTTCTAACTTACCTACGATTTTAGGAAAGTATGGATTATAACGAAGTTAGGAAATCTCAACACAAAAATTAGGCAACTGTCTTTAATTCTGTGTTTCATAAAAACAACAAAATATCATCCTGAATAACTGAATTAAATTAACCCTCTTTCACAAAACCTGGTAGAAACTCGCAAAAAAACGCAACTAAATCCACAGAAAGCTACTTTCCTGTCGAACATTTTGTAAGCTAACACGTAGCAACAAATGAAGAAATCTAAACTGAGCTCTAAATAGATTATGTGAAAAACATTGATACAAATGTTTTATTGACATTACCAGCGAAACAAGGAAGCAGGCCTCAATGAGCTTTCAATCCCGCCAAAGTGGACACTTCAACGAACGCGGCTAAACCTAAACGATGACGTAATGACGTCATGAAGAAGAGAAACGCCTTCAACGTTCAGGGGGCGCTCGTTTTGTCAGCCCACTTCTCCTAGCACAAAAACACGCCTGTCTGTGTTTCTTATTTGCCAAACTGTGTTGAAAAATAACAGATTTTTTTTAATGTTATTTGATATTGAAAAAAAGGTCAAATTCTGACTTTAATCTCAGAATTCTAACTTCTGATTTTTTTCATAGAATTCTGACTCATCAGAAATCTGACTTTTCTCTCAGAATTCTGACTTTAATCATCAGAATTCTGACTTTTCTCTAAGAATTTTGACTTTAATCATCATAATTCTGACTTTTTTCTCAGAAGTCTGACTTTTTTCTCAGACTTCTGACTTTAATTTCAGAATGCTGACTTTTTTTTCCTCAGAATTCTGACTTTAATCTCATAATTCTGACTTTTTTTCTCAGAATTCTGACTTTT